TTTCTAATGCTTTTCCAACAAAAGGCTAACGTGGTGCAAGTTCTTCTTCACTAAAAGTGATGTCTCTAGAAGACAAGAAAAAATCCAGTCTCCACCACCGTCGTTTATATCCCTCTTTTATTCCCCAACTGTTCACTCCATTCCCCACGTGATTGTCGCTACTCAAGATAAGGTGGCAATCAGCTGAGGAAGAGCAGAGGAAAACAGGAGATGGGGGAAGAAGGATGAGGAAGGAGTAGTGTTGCCCTTCTCTCATCCTAAATTGCAAACTCCCTCCCTCTCTCTCGAGTGAGCTTTTTGCCCTGACGTCCTGTGAGAACTTGACTTCCTTCTTCCCACTGATTCACCAGTCCTGTCTCTTCCTGAAGCAGTTCTTCTTGCCCATGTTCGAGTGGTTTCGAGTACACAGGCGCATACACACACACACAAAAGCATGATCATCAGAGATGATGTGGTGCTTTACAATTGTGGGTGGATGTGCGACGCGATGTCTGCTCGCTTAACGGAGACTGGAACACAACCGTCACTTTCCATCACAAGTCAGTGTGTCAGCAAAAGCTAGAAGTGAACGGCCCTTCTATAACGGGGTTGAAAGAAGTGACTAACAAAGCGGTAGTCTTTGGAGATTACTGTCTTTCCTCTGTTAATGCGTGCGGTTGGAACCCATGAGCTTAGCTACTACCATGACTGTTTCCACCGAGTTAGTTGGTGGAAGTGTAAACGACTTCTTTGATCGTTCACACTAGGTACTACCGAAGGTTGTTCTTAACGTGTTGAGACGCAATTATTTGCAAGAGACGTAATTCCTCATGAAAAAAGAATAGGACCTTCTGGAACGCAAGGCATTTTGGGGTGGCTCATACCCACAATGAAGTTGTTTGCACCACCTTTGGTGGAGTGTTTTGTCACCGCAACTTCTCAAGGTGTCCTGTCACGACATTTGGTAGGAGATTGTGCAGCCTCGTAGAACGGACGAGTCGGCATCATATGCATTTGGTTAAGTGGACGTTTTATGGTATGAAGGTTTCAAATAGGAGAGAGTGAGTGGAGAGCACAGTGAGGGGTGCCAAACCGATAGGCACCACTGACTTGTGTGTATGCACAAAAGTGGCAGCGCCTTGCAAGTTGCAATAAGCGATTGCAGTGCGGTATATCAAACGCTGCAGCAACGTTTTGGACCTCTGATGGAGATGTATGCATCTGAAAGTAAGCGTGAAACAGTGGTGTTGGTAGTGGTAGCGGTGGTGGTTCAACGGCGTATGAGCGAGGAACTGAAGAGCATTTTGAAATCGAGCCTTGCATCCACCATGACCCACTGCCGGAGACGCCGAGGAGCAATAGTATCAAACGATGTCGAGTACTTTGTTACTGAGGCGAATCAGCACCAAAAAGAAGCCGACTTAGGACCTTAAGTCTCCTCCCA